ACATGAAAACTTTAAGACTATGAAAAGAGTTAAAAGCTTATAACATGAAAACTTTAAGATTGTGAAAAGAGTTAAAAGCTTATAACATGAAAACTTTTAGATTGTGAAAAGAGTTAAAAGCTCATAACATGAAAACTTTAAGATTGATTGTGATGGCTTAGAGTTCCAAAGTTAAGAATAAAAAGTAATGAACTCATAAGTGATAAGATTATGATCTTGAACATAATTATCATTAATCCAAAGATGGGTGACATGATGGTAGTATTTGGTATTGAGGTCACCCTCACTGATCCATTTGGCTTTTGATTTAGTTCATCATTTGACATTTATTTGTCTAATAAGAGTCTAAGCTTTATTAGGAACCAAGGCATAATAATAATCATCCTCCCAAATAATTTTTGGATTCTAACACAGAAATATTATGTTGAATACGAGCTAAAGAATCCTCGAGATCACCAAGCTTGTGTTTATTCCAATAAATAAAGTAAAAGGTGAAGATTGCACAGGTTATTAAGAAGGTTGAAAAGGTGATGAGACTTGCAATGGAGTGCTACCCTTTGATACAAAAGTGTGTCTCAAGTAAAAGAGACTTGATAACCAAAACTATGCTTTGTTGAAAAGGTAAAGGGTGGGAGAGACATCACTTGAAATGGAGTACTATTTGGTAGAAATCTACAAATACCAAAGAGAAGCTTTTGGTCGATCATATGGACACCCAACAAAAATGTTTGCAAGCCATCAACTGCAAGAAAAGATCTCATCATTGTAACCATGTAAGATCATAAACAAGTGCTGAGACATGTCTGTCAGCAGCTCCTCCTGTGAACTCATTGGGATGCAACATCAACTTTGCAACAATTGCTGCGGAGGATCCATCTCTAGATTTCCCATATCTGAAGAGGGAAACCAAGAGAACCAAACCTGACCATGACATCCTCTCTCTCTCTCTCTCTCTCTCTCTCTCTCTCTCTCTCTCTCTCTCTTTCTCTTGTGTCTGTCTGGTAGCAATTATTTTGGCTAAAAATCTCTTTGTATCCACCACCACCACTCCAAGCCAAAGTCAAATAGTGTTTCTTCTCCACTCACAAAGGCTCCTGCCTCTTTCTTCTGAGCTTCCAGATCTAGCATGCAGGCCTTCCAGACCTACTCCCCCTCTGAGATCTCACTCCACACCACTAAGAAAGACTGCTGGTTGTCCATCCATGGCAAGGTGCAAAACTTCTACTGTTTTCTTCTCTACCTCATATGAACTTTTGGCTGCTCGTTTTGGAGGATCAAGCATTTCTGTTTCTTTTGTTTCTTATGGTTATGCATGCTTTTGTGCTTCGATTTCATTCTGACCCAGGTTTATGATGTGACCACCTTCTTGGAGGATCATCCTGGAGGGGAGGATGTTATCCTTCATGCATCAGGTGCTTCTATTGCTCCATATCCCCATTTTTCTTTTTCTCTTTAATGTTCCTCTTATTTATAGTTTCTTCTATTGATCTTTTTGTGTTCCTACTCTAATTAGAAGATCTCTTCACTCTTGCTAGCAGACTCATGTTTTCCCCTGCTACTTAGCTTTGATATGCAGTGTTGTTGCAGCTTGCAGTTTGATAGGGAAAACTGCCTGGTATTCTTTTTTCTTCAATCTGGTACCCATTGATATATCCTGTCTTTTTATTAGGAGGTCTTGCCAATTGAAAGAACTGCAGATCTGGAGATGAACAAGTAATGCCGGGATCTTGAGTAGAAACAATTGATGTTTTATATCTATCATGAGTCACATTTTTTATTTGGAAGGAAAGAGAGGCTTCATTGAGCAACAGCTACCATGTTACAGTGATTACCAGAGAAAACCTGATCTGAATGGACTGTGGTTGTGTAGGAATAGAGCTATTATGGCCCTTAAATCACCTCTTAATCATGATCTATGGCCTGTAAAACTGTCTATCTTCTGAAAATTTCGTGAGAGCAGCTTCTGTGTCTGAAGCCTTTGCCCCTGCCTCCCGTCGCTTCACCTGCCGACGGTGTGACTCTGATCTCCGGCTACATTACTATAGAAAAGCCATGGCCAGTGTGTCCAAACCCAAAACAGATCAGTGGTGGGTTCTCTTACTCAACACTTGAAAGAATTGCGACCTGCCGACGGTGTGACTTTGATCCCTGGCTACATTACTATAGAAAAGCCATGGTCAGTGTGCCCAAACCCAAAACAGATCAGTGGTGGGTTCTCGTACTCAACACTCGAAAGAGTTGGCCATTTACTCCTTGCAACCAAGCATCCTGAGAGGTAGGCTCATCAAATATTATCTCAATTCGAGCGCTGGCTACTTGGTCATGATGCTTCTGAAGTCTCTGATTTTAAGAGGATCGAGAAGCAAATTTCAACTTCTGATACATTCTAAGGTCATTTCTTCCTTCTCAGGATGAAAGTTTGGCTACCATGTAGTATGCAGCATAGACCCCCTAATAGCCTTTTCAAGATTGAATTAGATAAGAAATACACCCACATGTCCAACATAGTAAAAGTAACTTGTTAATCAATGAAACCATGTCGATATATTTGCATATGATAGACATTTGATTGGAAAATTTTGTCATGGTGTTCTTGAATTGTTTGCTTCTTTGATGTGGAATATGCTTTGACTCTTCATATTGATCCAAAGCTTCTGGAGATGCTACCCAAGCATTTGATGATGTGGGTCACAGCTCCACTGCCACTAGCATGATGGAGAGCTATGTGATCGGCACTGTCGAGGGTTATGTTTCCGGCATCAAACCAACCAGCAGACACTGGCTTTCGAAGCAGGAGCAGCCACCCCCTTCCTACAGCTTCACGGACTACCTCCTTCCACTGCTGGTCCTTGGCATCGCCTTTGCAGCTTGGTATTACCTCACCTTCTATTCAAAGGCCAAAGCCTGATCAACACACAAAAGCTCTTCTTGTTGTTGAGAATAATTGAGAGCCATATGGAGTAAGGGGGTGCTTATTGATGATGCATACTTTTTGTAAGAGTGAGGAAGAGTGCTATAATTCCTACTAGTTCACAAACCACCCAAATATTCTGTTTCTGAGAAACTATTTGAAGAATTGCATGATTAAGAACCGATCGAGCTGATTTAATAATCTGGGCAAGCTTATTAAAAAATATCATCCTTGGTACTTCATTTTGTCAGAAGTTTTGATTACATTGAACATTAGCCTATCTTACAAAATGTTCATGAAGCCTGCTGATGTTTGAGCTATATTCAAATGATTTAAACATGCTAAAAGCCATTGTTAGAGCTTAGAAGAGTGCTTTATGGTGGTAAAACTTGCAGATCTTTCACTAGATTTCATTAATGGATGGTTTCTCTCCTGTTGAGTCTGTTCAAGTATTTAATGATGGTGCCATTTTCATTAGATCTTTGGGTCAGTGTTGTGAAAAGTTGAAGACACATTCAAACTGGAATATCTCCATATCTAGTCATCATGATAGCCATATCCAGTTAGTTTTAACTAGATTGTTGACTGCATCATAATGACATTGTATTCTATCTTGTATGGTCACAGCATTGAGTTATTTACCATGTTGAGTGAAGTCATGGAAGATTTGAATGCTGAGTGAACTCTCATGCTATTTTAGATCAGACTGTTTCTTTGCAAATTGTGACCAAATATATCCTATATTATTTGCAGAATTGTGATGACTTAACTCTCATGTCTTTTTTTTGGACTTAAAAGTTTTACCGTAAGCATCTTCGAAGGGAAAAGGTAAATAAAAAGAACTCAATCAAACAATAATCTTACTATTATTTATAAATATTTTGATTAGAAATAGCTTATGGGGTCTCTAAACAAGTTTATAGCTAATTAAGATTTGTGAATGGAGGGAGGATCCAACTGTTGCTTAGAACAAGTCAAAAAAGCATGCAGGGAAAAAGTCAATTGGATGTTGTGTTTGTCAACTACTGTCTCCATCCTTGTAGTTGAACTAATCCAATGGCTGACTAATTCTAGCTTTTTTTTTCTTTGTTTTCCTTTGGGAAAAGAGTTGTGGTAGTTATACATAATTGTCATATGAAGTAGGAGGGCTTGGACCCTTAAGGATGCACATCATAGAATAATGTCACATTGTTCTTCCAAATGGATTAGTTGACATATAAATCCTAGAAACAAAAGTAGTTCCTTAGACCACTGAATCAACAAGCATCATCCAAATTAAATCAGTAATTGTCATGGTGGCAGACATATGACAATCACCACAACCAGTAGAAATTATGAAAAAGAGTGACTTTGGTTTTTTTCGATTCCGCGATTAATGTGAGACTAAATATGAAATATAATCGAAAGAACAGTTTAGTATGATCTTTTTCTCAAACAAGGAAATGTTCAATCAAATTATTTGTAGAATGTTGAATCAGTATAACATTCCTTCCACTTTTTTTTTCTGAGTTAATTGTATGATGAACAAGCTAATTATCAATGGAACAATGATAAATTTATGGTTCTACTTGTTTGGACAGATATGAAATAGAACCTAAAAATGCAAATCCACAAGTAAATATAAGCAGAAGATGTTGACCCAAACATGTACAAAAGCGACCACCCACCCACTCTCACTGACGACTCCACCTGCAAATCCAATCCGATCCACCTACTAATCTTTGGACCATTTCAAACCCACTATTTCTTCTTTTCAAACAAAAATAGAAATTAATTACCCACTGCACCAATTATAAACATAAAAAAATATTTATATTTATTTATTCTAACGTTATCAGTTTTATTAACGAAAACACAAAAACAAAAGATAAAAGATCATCTTAACGTTCTAGTTAGTGGTAAAGGACAACGGTACTACTAGAGGCTATGAATGACTATTGTGAATGAGAAGAGTGATAGTAAAAAGTGAGGATCATATTTGTATTAACGCCAACGCAGTTGCCAAGCAATGTTTTTGTCACTTTATATTTATATCAGCGTTGACATAATTGCCAAGCAATAAAAGGACTACTAACGCAGATGCCAAGCGCCACCGCTCTACGTATGTGTCAGTGTCGACGTAATTGCCGATGACGCCACTTGGCATCTGCATTGATGACCATTTCATTGCTTTACACGACGTCGACACAATTGCTGAGCGACGAAAGAGTCGCCAATACAGATGCAAAGCCACAATATCCACTTATGACCTCCAACTACATCATCATCCGCCACCACCATCATCGTTCATCACCACCAATTGGAATGGTAAAATTATTATTTTTTATATATTTTTATTAGTAAAATTGACGGTGTTAGAATAAATAAATATAAATATTTCAGGAATATCAATGTAATCTTTTAAAATATAACATCAAAATATTAAAGATAGTTGACTATAAGAATAATCAGTCATTAGCCCAACAAATATCCCACCTCTCGTTTCAAACCCGCTGTTGCTGAGCATGTCTTCTTCTTCCCTTGGTCAAGGATAACATCTACAGGGCTTCTTCCCTCTTCCCCTTCTCCATGCAAGGATGGAGGGACTGCTTCCTTTGATCTACCGAACCATCAAGAGAAAGAAGAGCAGGCGTTACTACAGGTGCCTCTCATCAGGTGATGCAGCAGCAGCGTTCGGCGTCGCTGAGTCGGGCTCCGACGGCAGCACGTGCATGATACCGCCGCCGGAGACCCACAAGGCAGCGCTTGAGATGGCTCAGCTTGACATTGACAAGCGCACGTCGACGACTATCCCCGTCCCATCGGATAAGCTCTGGGGCTCCGACCAAGGGCGCAGCCATGGCCACCATCGTAGGTACGCTTCGCTGCAGGAGTTCTCACATGTCTCGTTCATGGAAACGCCACCTCCGCCGACCAGGTTCTCCAGGGCGAGGAGCCATCGCGTGCTGGCTTGCATCAGTGGAGGATGAGAACTTGGAATCAGATATCACATGCAGAGAGAGCTCTCCTCAACGAACGAAGTGGCAGAAGGATGATGTTTTCTTACCTCGTGACCAAGTAAATCTGATGAAGGCACGTCTGCAATCTTTGAGAATTCAAAACTATGTGCAGTTTGATGTTGCTAACAAGCTTAGTTCTTCAAATTACCTAAGTCCAATTTGGTTTTGTAGCATGATTTTTGCAAGTCTATGTCAGATGACAGGTATTAGAGTTCTTTGGTTCGATCATGAGAGTTGGAAGTTAATGTTCAAATATTCGTAAACTATACTTTCTAGTTTGTCAAAGCTTCCAAAATTTCTTGCAAAAAATTAAGAAAGGTCTCTAAACTTGTATAAATCTCAGTGTAATTGAATGATCCTTCTGGTAAAGTTATGACTAATTACGATTCATCGAGTTTACGATTTCAAATAACTAAACTAGCATTCAAGATTGTGAATATTAGGTTAGAAAAATTCTTTGCAATAACGAAAAAAAATCACCTCCACAACACTAAACTAGCATTTAATTGTTCTACTTAAATGCTTCTTCCATAATTTCAAGAAACTCGGACGAAAACAAAAATCGATAGCAACCAATAATGTTATGAATATTAGGCCTTAAAAATTCTTTGGAAATAACCATTTAAAACTCAGGTCACAGAAAACACTACCTCCACAACACTGGTAATCAATAATCCATGAACAGAAACTGCAGCATTCTAGAAACAGCAATGTTGGCCACCTTGATGCTGCATCCATGGACAAAAACAAAAGATCAAGTTAGGGATTAGATGAAACATGTCAGCCAAAGGGATAAGCACAAGTTTCCACTGAGCAAGGCGGGCTCCGTAGTTGGTCAACGTATTGTACCTGACTGGTGGTCACAAGCTAGTAGGTTGAAGAAATCATGATCACTTAGTCTATTCCATTAGTGTAAATAGGCAGTCCGGTAATGTATCTGGTAGCCATTTCCATGGTAATTGGTATGTGTAGGATTGGCAGTGTATGTAGCAGAGCCCGTGACCGTCGTCGTCGGATGATGACAATCGGCAGCATAGACATACTGCCTGTCAGATGGATAAGGAAATCTCTCAGTGTGTGCTCGGTAGAAGCTTTGTCAGGCATGCTGGTGATACGAGGAACGTAGATGCAGCCACCGGCATGGGTTCTCTTGGATTGTGGCTTTGCAGCTTTGTCAGCCCTCTTCTTGTCAGCTTTTGATTTCTCAAGCTGAACAATATGCTTTTGCAGTGGATCAATGGGGTATTGCTCCTCGATGCACTTGATGACAACTTAAAGAGCAGATAGTTCATTCATTTCATTCTGCAGTAGAAATGTTGCCAACAAAGTTTATACATTTGTTGTGATACAAAAGTTTAGTGTGAAGTTAGATAACAGGAAAAACAAAATTGGAGAAGCAAGAGTTACAAGTTATCTAGTAAAACATAAGATTTTGCAGTCCATGATAAAACAATAGGTCCTACTGATCATAGTGTATCCATGATGCATGTTTCCCTGAGGTTTTCCATTTAGACAAATATGGATGGCCACAAGAATGCTCAACTCCTTCAAATGTCGATAGCTACAATAAATTTCTTAAGTCAATACCTGAAACTAATGAATTTACATAATATCCAAGCAAGAACCCAGTTGCTGTTCGTACTCAATTGAACTGACGATATCAGATAACCTGATGCCAAAACGACAATGGCTCCTTACAATGACCAGTGAGGATTCAAGCAGGGAGATGTATCTGATAGATACCTTAAACGAGTTTCTTTTGGTCAAGGATTCAATCAGCTCAATTAAATCTAAAGAAAGAGATATGTAATCTCATGTCACACCATACAGATACAGTCTGCCATGATGATAATTAAGAGTATACACTCTATTCAAGAGTATGGCTAGCTGAATCAAATATATTCTTAACGAAACGGTTTCTTTTCCCTCTTCACAAACTAGCAAAAGGGACCCATCCTGGCCACATATGCCCTATATCATTGAGTTCAGAAATCACAAAAAAGAGATTGAAGTTCATTATGTCAAAGCAAACCCTACATCTGTACCACTAACTCGTGTTTTAGCATGAAGACAACTTCGATTGATGGAGATCTGGGTTAACCCAAAGTTGTCGGCACACAGATATTGATAAAACATCGCCACATATAGCAAAACTAAAATCTTTCATAATGAAATTTTTATAAGCTACAGGTTAGAACTCAATAAATAATCCACCATAACATTTTCTCTAACATCCCATCTTCTGAAAAGTATAATTACCGTAAGAGTAATCTAAAAGCATATGTGATATATGATAACAATTACCATGAAGGTTCACTTTAGTTCCAGATTTCCTATTGTAAGAAAAATACTAATTTAATCAAACATGAAACCATGGATAATGTTTTGATTATAGACATAAAAAAATATTTCTACAAAATTAAAGCTTTCAACTTAATTTTTACCAATATTTTCTGACAAATGATGAAAACTGTGAAACAACAGTTATTATGCTATAGCTACCTAAAAATGTAGTCCTGTGATCATGGCATTGTTAACACTTGTATTTAAATGTGCTTTAGAAATACAGCCTTATGCAAGAGATGTACGGTCTAATGAGGCTACTATGAAATATTTACTCATGGGTGGGGCAAGCTCTTCTATTCTGGTTCATGGTTTCTCTTGGCTATATGGTTCATCTGGGGGGTAGTCTAAAACATACATGGATGAACTAACCCGGTTTGTTCCCTCATTAAATCAGTTTAGATATCTCTATGTTTATCTGCTCCTTAGACATTCTTGCCCTAGAATTATTGTGGCATATCCAACATGCCTACCAACTGAAGAATTGACACATGTGACCAGGTCAGGCACACTGCCATGCCAACACAAGCATGAGGGTGGGATGAAAATGGGGGCCTACCACATGTACGGGCATCTAAGATGTGTGTGCCAGTATTGCATATATGCATAGAGCATGGGCAATCATTGCAAGGATACAAATATATGTATATAGGTCTCACAAAAACAAGGATTTACTAAATTAAGTTCCAATGCCAACAAACATTTAGAAAGTACCCTACACAGAAATGTTGCAGGCCTCTCACATAAATTCATCTAGCTGCATATGCAAAATATCTCAGCATAAGTACCTTAAATAATGAAAAAATACAAGTGATTAAAATTTAAAGCATGTGCTCAAGGCTATGGTGAATGCAACATTTCCAACTAACATAGTTTGAAACAAAGTTTTTAATTTCAATGTGTACTGCTCGGTATGGGTGATACCAAATTTTTGACCTTATATCGGGCGATACAAGGCTATACCAGACGGTCAAAATTTCGATCGTTACCGACTTATATTAGGTTTCAAACTGTCAAATTGACTGTTGGAGGTAGTCTAAAGGGTTTTTAAACCCTTTCCTCCCTCCTCTTTCAATTCATTTCACTCTCACACTTTCTTAAACTCTCTCAAACTCATTTTACTCTCACTCTCTTAAACTCTTTTAAGCTCCCCTCAAACCCAAAAAAGATATGTGAGACTATTCATACCTAAATTACATTAGTTTTGTTATAACTATACTAAATGTATATTTATTTCTAACTTAAAAACTCTATCCTAACTTTTTTTTTCTATTTTCAGATATTTTCGGAGGGTTTTATGCTATTTTAGGCGTATCGCTCGGTATGCCCTGGTGTACCGTCAATATGTCGGTACAAACTAAAATTGCGAACCCTGGTTTGAACAATTTATAAATGCACAATGTTCGAGAGTGATTGATCCAACTACTTGACAAAAAATAAATCAGATCTTCAAGAAATTTTGCACCATATGCGAAAAGAATATCATCATGAATTCCTAGGCAGAAATAGTAACTCGAGACAGTATCATGGTATAAATTTGACCTAATAATAAGCCTATTATATACAGTTCCATAGATCTTAGTTGCATCATCACAGCTACAAAATTCACCAAATGTTTAAAGTGGTCCCCTCACTCCATAATTGAAAAGACTTCAAATAGAGCTAATTGGCAGTATTAGGGTAACTCAATACAAGATAAATAGTAGCCCAATACACGAGCCTCCCACTAATGCAGGATTGAGGAATGTCACCATGGCTAGGTAAAAAGATGAATTATTAACAAGCTAGCAAAGGAAGAAGACCTGTGCACCAGGAGACATGCTTCCAGCTTTGACCTGTGATAGCTTTCTTGCCTCCCTCATATATGCTTTAAGCAAAGGCACCAGTGGAAATTGTTCCATAGATTTAAATGCATAAGTGAGATTACTAGCCTCAATTTACCTCCCACTACTAAGAAGAACTTTAACCAAACCTATGAATCATGGAAAGGCACATTTAGTCTTGAAGAATCAATTAGTACCAAACATAACCAAGACATGAACACAAAGGTGATTGGATACTTAGTGATGGTGACAAACACATGCAACAAAACAGGCCTGAAAAGAACAACTTAGTCATCAAATATATGATACTGGGCAAACCCAATGCATGGCTACCCTAGAATATCCATGACATTAAAAAATGTGATTCTCACAAAGTTTCCAAACCTAAAGGATATCATGAATAGAATAGATGAAATCGAAAGGATTGCTTCAATGGGAATATTTCATGATGAAGGTCATGGCCCCATATAAAGAAAATGTCAGATCTAAACTATTGGATGATGAGACTAATTGTCTTCACAACGTCTATGTATAGGGTGAGCTTCTCACTAAGAAAATGTGAAAAATGTATGTCAGATCTAAACTATTGGATGATGAGACTAATTGTCTTCACAACGTCTATGTATAGGGTGAGCTTCTCACTAAGAAAATGTGAAAAATGTATAAGGATGTGGGAAGTAGGGATAGAAAATTCAACACAAAAGGTGCCATTTTTAAAAACAAGAATTATCAGTCCTAAAAAATGTGAATGCACATTAATATGACCAAACTAACAAAGGACCAACCTGGCATTTTATGTGACAAACCAAGTGCACGACACAAGTCAACAGTTTGACAGTGCCATGTAACAGCTGGAATAAGTTTGCAGATTTCATCTTGATCAAATTCTGATACAATGTCAAAACTCAAAACTAGCCAAAAGATGAAGAAATGCATGTGCTTCCAATGATTTCCCATTGCTAGTTTCAGTTTCCATCTAATTTTGGTTTCCATCCTTTTGCTATCACCTTTGCTTTCTCTTTAACACCAGCAGTAAGTATTTGCTAATCAAAAGGTGAAACTGGTACAACATCTGCCAACAGTTGTTCAAGAGATTCCATTAACATGAGACGA